GGGGTGGGAAAATAGGATAGGCAGAGAAGGAAATTTTAGAAGTAAGTGTAAAGTGAAAAATGTAGTCGATGTTGCTTCCCGCGACCGCTGGGAGCAAGTTGTTCCGCATGTAGGTAGGACTGTACTAATCTAATTCCAGAACGGTAAGTTGGACCACAGGTAAGTTTAAGTAGACAACCTACCGACCATCGTTTTTAATTTTTCGGGAAATGCAAGAAACCTACAGTTTGATAATCGGGTTTTTAAGCAATAACTTAAATGATAATACAGATTTGTAAGATCTACAAATATAAATCAACAACACTTCTAAATACCGTAAAATAAAAATTCATACAGCATTTATTAAAGTATATTCCACTGCGGGTCCTAATTTCCAGCCCACAAACCCCATAAACACCGTTTCTGTAGGAAAATAGGCAGGTTGTAGGGACTAATGAGTGGGGCTACATTAGCTTCTGTTGCCGGTTGTATAAACAGAGACACGTCGAACTGTGCAAAGGAGGTCCGCAGGGTTTCTGTAATAATGCCAGACCTCACACCATCCTCATATACTTGTACCGCATTCTGTGGTTGACCAACACAGTTAGTTGTCTTCGAAACTAATTGCCTGACTTTGTAGATGCTAACCTTGCTAATTCCTGGGCAGTTAGCCACCTACAACAGCCTCCTAAGCGTTAATGCAAACATGCAGGTTAGTGTGCTTTCTGTGTATGATTTCGGCCACATCCAATGTCGAACACAGTCTAATGAGGCCATTTCCGCAAACACTGGTTGTTGAGGGTTATATAAACAGGGCCAAGTCGATAACTTGTCCGAACTGCGCACCTACTGTGCGCAGTGCTTCTACAGTGACGCCAAGCTTCACAACATCTACATATACTTCTACCTCATTTTGTGGTTGGCCAGCACAGTTAGTTGTCTCCCATTGTTCACTGGCAAGACAGCAAGAAAATGCAGTCTACTCAGGGTACGAGAAAACTGAACGCCGCTATTACGTTAAGCCATCAACATTACTACAAGAGATGTTCACTCTTGTAAACTCACCTTACTGGGTCATTGTCTATATCATCGGATAAATAGCATTCCTCAACTTTAATCCGAACGCCACGTATGATATGCTTCATATAAGCTATCTTTTCAATGTCTGCCGTCCGTCGAAATGTAATGTAGCCACATCCACCGTGCTGGTTTGTTGACGGATTCATGCACATGTCCACTTTGAGTACCTCACCGAAGCGTGCAAAGTGGGTTTCTAAGTCATCTGTTGAGATGATCGACTTTACACCTTCAACATATATTTGGAAATATTTGAGTGATTTTTGACTGGCCGATTGCCTTTGCAGATCATTTTTCTCTAGCCGTGGTTGATTGTGTTTTGCCTGCTGCTGTTGCTGCTGCTCATTTTCCGGCAGAATGGGTTCGGCTGGGTTAGACGCTATCGACTTTACATTGTCGACATTGTGCTTCGAAGGCATTGGCTGCAGCTTACCGCTTTGCTTTGCCCTACAAATGCAAACAAACGTGCCGTTTGTTTACAGAAAATTAAATTTGCAGAGGTATTTTTGTAAGTTGTCTTTTGCCAAAATCGTCAACACAGAACGAAAACCATCAAAATCCTCTGCGCAAGAATATGCGCGAGCTTGATTTTGGCCCTCGAGCTTTAGTAGGTTTTTCTTTCATTTCGCCGTCTTAGTGTATTTCCTAAACATCAAATATCAGTTAATATTATTGAGATATAAAATGAACGCCCTTAACCTCTTGAGAACTTCGTAAATTAAGCCTTACGACGTTTGCGGATGCGAGTGCAGTAAAACATTTAAACATATAATTATACTAAGTGTCTGATTAATTATTCGACTATCACTGTAGACATTTTCACATAGGTGGCGTATCAGGTAGCTAGACTACCGCTTGAAAACCCACCTTTCTTTGTACTTTTTGGAAACCTCGGATGAACAACACTCCGCAATGACAATC